TTTTCAAAAGCAGTTTTTGACATTTATCAAAACTGGAAGTTTTTACTGAAATATAAATTACTTAAGAAGATTGTTTACTTCAAAAAGCATATAAAATATTTTAAATATATCAAAATTATAATTTACATCTGTTATTTAGATTATTCTCGAATGTGACAAAATCAAATGCAGAATGGCATCATAAACAGAGTGAGGCTGTCTGCCCCTCTCCTCCCTTTTTTTTTTTAATTCGATGGTGTTCTGCTGTATAGTCCTCTGCAATCTGAATTTGGAAATGCCTAGGTTTTGAGAAGCTGAGGGGCCAGGACCAAGACCAAGGAGAAGGAAAACTAAATTCCTTGAAGTGAAGCCACCAAGACTTGGAAAGCATTTTGTCTTCCCTCCCAAAGATTATAAACGTAATAAAATTGGTGAATATTTGTTTAGTCTAGCATATTTATCTTGTCTATATTTGGGGCTCTGTTGTGCTTGTTTATTTGCAAGCCCTGGAGAATTGAGATTTAGTGGCACCAGTGTTAATTAGAAGTCAATTTTGGTAATTGCTCAAGAAGTGCTTGTATTCCCATCCAGACATGGAATGAAATCAGCACCATGTCACTCCGACAGCCAGTCTCAATGAAGTAGTCACTATTCTCATGCAGAATATACAAAATAATTCCCTAGAGTGCAATGTAAGAAAAAAAAAAATAAAAAAAAAAGAAAGGAAAAAAAGAAAGAAAAAATAAGAAAGAAAAAAAAAAGAAATAATTAAAAAGAAAGAAAAAAAAAGAAATTGTCATTTGCCGTTGGACTTGACAGAAATTGAAAAATGAGCTGAACTTCAGAAACATCTTGTTGTACTCAGTGTGAAAGTCTCGCCTGCCTGGAGAGCGGTAGGCACCGGCGCAGGGTGGCGGCCGCACCGAGCCCCCGGCCCGGGCTGCTCGCCCCCGGCCCCGCGTCCTCCAGGTGAGTCACTGGCTGAACGACGCTGCTTCTCCTCTGGGTCCGTACCCTGAAATACCTTCTGAAGCCTATTATATGGTTAATAACGGCAAAGCTTGTGATTTCACTGTTTGATATAATTTTATTCAATAAAGCTGCCTCATTGCATAAAGGTCTTGGTATTTAATATTTAATAGCATAAATCCCACATGAGTCCTAGGCAGGGGATGAAAATTACATTTTAAATTAATGTGCGCTCACAGCCTGCTCTTGTTTCTTTCTGCATTCAAAGGCCAACAGCCGTTTTCCAGCACGGTGCCAGCTTCCAGAGCCGGCGTCCCTACCACCCTCCCTCGAAATGGGGACTTAGCGCCGGGCGGCGGGTGGTGGCGGCTGCTGGCGCGCCGGGGCGGCCGGGCAGCGCGGCGCTGGCGGTGCCGGCGATGCGAGGCAAGGCGCCGGCCCAGCTCCCGCGCCCGCGGGCGGGCCGTGCGGGACCCCGCGCACCCCGGTGTCGCGGGGTGGCTGCCCTCCCCGGGACGGGGAGCGGCCAGCCCTGCGGCACACCGCCCCGCTGAGCCGGAGAACGCTAACCGTACCGCGAAGGGAGCGAAACGTCGCAAGAGGCCCGTGGCTGCAGCCGCGGGGGGCTGGGGAGCCCCTGGGACTGTGGCTTTGGAGGAACGTGGTCCAGCTCTTCAGCAAATCTTCAGCTATTACGGGCATTGCAATGTAGGGACTTTGGTGGAGATGTTCCGCTTGCTCTGTTTAGGGGGACGGGTCAAACATCAGCATTAGAAGCGTGCCGTTTTTCTGAAAATGTGGCTCAACATGTTTTGTTCTTCTGTGTGGGTGAAGGCAGTTGCTTCCAGCGGGGAGCCCTGCGTGCCACGGCCGTTTCCACACGGACGCCTGGGATTCGCACAGCCTTGTATCGCTCCTGCGTGCCAGCAGCGAGCGACAAGGGACGCCCGGAGCTGCGTCCGTGGCGAGGGCCCGGCACAGCACCGGCACGGCGAGGGCACAGAGCTGGCACGGCACCGGCACGGCGAGGGCACAGAGCTGGCACGGCACCGGCATGGTGAGGGCATGGCAAGGGCACAGAGCTGGCACAGCACCGGCACGGCGAGGGCACGGAGCCGGCACAGCACCGGCACAGCAAGGGCACAGCACCGGCACGGCGAGGGCACAGAGCCGGCACAGCACCGGCACGGCGAGGGCACGGAGCTGGCACAGCACCGTCACAGCGAGGGCACAGAGCTGGCACAGCACCTGCACAGCAAGGGCACAGCACCGGCACGGCGAGGGCACAGAGTTGGCACGGCACCGGCATGGTGAGGGCATGGCGAGGGCACGGAGCCGGCACGGCACCAGCACAGCAAGGGCACAGAGATGGCACGGCACCGGCACGGCGAGGGCACAGCGAGGGCACGGAGCCGGCACGGCACCAGCACAGCAAGGGCACAGAGATGGCACGGCACCGGCACGGCGAGGGCACAGCGAGGGCACGGAGCCGGCACAGCACTGGCACGGCGAGGGCACAGAGCTGGCACGGCACCGGCATGGTGAGGGCATGGCAAGGGCACAGAGCTGGCACAGCACCGGCACGGCGAGGGCACGGAGCCGGCACGGAGCCGGCACGGCGAGGGCACGGAGCTGGCACAGCGCCGGCATGGCGAGGGCACGGAGCTGGCACAGCACCGGCACGGCGAGGGCACAGAGCTGGCACAGCACCGGCACAGCAAGGGCACAGCACCGGCACGGCGAGGGCACAGAGCCGGCACAGCACCGGCACGGCGAGGGCACGGAGCTGGCACAGCACCGGCACGGCGAGGGCACAGAGCTGGCACGGCACCGGCATGGTGAGGGCATGGCGAGGGCACGGAGCCGGCACGGCACCAGCACAGCAAGGGCACAGAGATGGCACGGCACCGGCACGGCGAGGGCACAGCGAGGGCACGGAGCCGGCACGGATCCGGCACGGTGCGGCGAGGGCACAGAGCAGCAGCAGCAGTCCTCGGGCAGCGCGTATCTCATGTCCCGGCCATAGCCAACAGGTCGTGGGCTCTTACCGAGACAGCAGTGGTGCATTGCCACGCTGGGTTTTCAGAGCGTCGTCAGCATTCATCAGATTTGGCCAGATTTTCAAAGGATTTCAGCATGCAGCGCATACCTGGTATTTCATGTTCTTTTACAGATTTGTCTATTTATATCGCTGCTTTCATGGGAGCTGAACTCAGCAGCTGCTCCTTATGTCTGACCCCAGACAGTTACTCATCAAAGCATGCTATACACTTACAAATTAAACAAATGCTATTTTAAAGCCCAGTCTGGCAAACACTCAGCAGACAGTTTGGTACTTACCACTAGGATTATCCTAAGTGCCTTCGAGATCCCTTCCTGTGTAAGCTTTATTTATATATTGTGAATAGCTGTCTGCATCCAGGCCAGGCAGAATTTCTCCTCTTAGTCTTGGTGGCAGGGAGGAGAGGCAGGGGCAACTTCTCTTCCCGTGCTGCTTTGAAAGCCTGAAGTTCTCTAAAAAGGAAGGTCAGACAAAGCATTTCTTCACATTAATTCCTTTGAGTGGCATTTAGACTTAACCAGCTGTGTTACAGACTTTTATATCAACAGCGGAGTCAGTGCTGGGAAGTTTTGCTCTCGTATGGTTTGTGGCTCCAGCGCTACGGAGACCCTTTAAGAGCACAGGAGCAGCTGAGGAGAATTGCCTTGGTGTACTCCGGGGCCACTCTCTGCTGTAATTCTGCCGTCCCCTCCAGCAGTGGGGAATTAACCGTGCGGCACGCCGGCTCTCCGCGCCGCCGGGTTTGCTGGCCGGTTACAGCCCCGGTCGGCTCGTGCAGACCCGGGGAAAGGCAAGGGGATGCGACGGCGGGCGAGCAAAGCTCTGCGGCAGCGAGGGCCCCCCTGCACCCGTCCCAAACCCCTCCGGAGCGGGGGGCCCCGGGCCTGGGGGGCCCTTCCCGGGCAAGTCGCGGTGAGGCAGGAGGCTGGAGCCGTGGCTGCAGGATATCGACCTGGCCAACACTTTGTGAAACCAAGTGAGGATCATTTCTTTACTTTCTCACTGATGGGTTTTAGCACAGATTCTTTCCTTTTTGTTTCCGCTGGGGTAAGGTTTGAGATGGAAATCTGCACCTAAATTTTTTGTTCTTGAGACATAGCAGCCAAAAATACATTCAATTTCTTACACAGTTATAGACCCACACCACGGCTAGCAATAGGCATTGTCCCTGAGATGTAATTTCCTATAGCCTCAGTGGAATTGATACATAAATAATATATGTACACATATATAACATTTCAGATTATGTAATTCCACCATCTGCTGCTTTAAATAAACAGTGCTCTTATTCCACCTCTGCTTCTTTACATAATGGTGTCCCCTATCCAAGTCATTAATTATGTGCAACGTGGGGCAGCTGAGGAGGCAGGGAGCGTACTTTGTGCTCTCCTCTAACAAAATACTCCTTCCTCCTAGTAAGGTAGAGGTGGAGAACTTGCAGAGCAGGAACACCATCTATTGTAACATTGCCCATTGGTTTCCTACTTACTGTCTTTGTTCTTACATATGCAAACCAGGCAGATTGTGTTTACTTTGATAAGCAACTTTACTGCAGGATCAAGTAGAAAGGGAAGATTGGCAGGAAAGGAGCAAATCTTCCTTAAACAAAAATGCCTGCAATAATTAGCAAATGTGGCAAGAAAGAGTTGATAAACAAGTAAAAGGTGAGAAGTGAAAGGTAAGCTTCAGGGCAATTCATTAAGATGGTAAATGAAAAGCAAACCAACATTCCTGCAAGTATTTAGCAGATGGGAGGGTATTCTGGGAGGATGGCATTTGTTCAAGCAGTGAGTAGAAGCTAGAAACACATGGATTCAGGACACAGTTTTAAAGGAATCTTTGGTTTATTTTTTTGAAACAAGCCATGAGGAAGGCAGGGCAGTGTTTACGTTTTCTTTGCCTGAATTTGTATTTCTGCTGTTTAGGGAGCCTGGGAAAATAAAAGCCTGCTTTTCAAAATTGGAGACCCAGCTCTGCTTCTCAATTACAGGTGCCGATAGGGTGATTTAATGAGCCTGCAGTGCAGCACAGGTGCAGCTGATGTGGTCTGGGATCTGATGTGTATCCTGCTGTGGATCTGAGCCCCCCTGCCAGTGCATCCTTCTGGGGGTTCCTCCCACGGGCCCTCGGCCCCGAAGGCAGCCAGGTGCTCACGCCGTGGCTTGGGCTCCTTGCGTGGCAGAGGAAGAGCCAGGCTCGGCTCGGGTGGGCTCGTCACCCCGGGGGTGGGTGCAGAGGGGCAGGGAGGTGACTCGCCCTCAGCCTCTGTCCACGCGGGTCCTGAGTTTCTGCAGCTGGCTGAGCCCACGTGAGAGATTTGGGTAACTGCAACTGAAAACTGGCTTCTCTCTGGATGCAGGGGCTCTGCTTCATGGTGGGGGGGTGGGAGGGGGTGGGCTGGGCTGGCACCATTTACAGCGCTTCTGAAGACTCAGCTCTGGGCTGTCTCCAGAGCTTTCTTGCTCCTAACCCCAGGAGGAGACTTGCTTTAATGACTATGTTATCGCTCCAGCTTATATTCTTTTAAAGACTGAAACATACTTGACTCCCTGGGGTGGACTGCTTTATAATAGCTATTATTCGGGGTTTCTGGGGGGGGGAGTGGGGGTAAAGGGGTTGGAAGTGCTCCACAGAGGCAGGACTGCCTTCCATATGTTCAATTCTTGGTTGTTTTATTTTTGATTAGAAGCAAGGGACTGATATATGTTATGAGGAAGTGATGAGTTACCTGGCATGTCTGGAGCACTGGGGATTTTCTCACATCAGGATGATGGTGATTGATTTTTTTTTTTTTTTTTTTTTTTAAACCTGCAGCAGAGGAGTTTCTTGACGCTTGATTGCAGCTGACAAGTAAGCTGTGGAACCAGCTCACTGGTGAGTGTGACAGGCCTTCCTCTCTCCTTTCCCCACTAAATTTTAGACTTTAATGGCTTGCTGAAGACATGCTGTCGAGATGATGGAGATGGTGAGGTTATTAAATGAGGACGTCTTCTACTTGCTAAATTGCTTTAATCTCACAGGAGGCTGTATTAGCTCATATTGGCCACCCATTTGTAGGGTTTAGAGGAGAAAGCAAAGAAACAAAGAGCATGGAGGGGAACTTTAAAAATGCATCATTGTTTTCCTGAAAAGCTGTGGCAGAGCCCGGGAAGGAAGGTGGGAATCGCACCTCGCTTTGCCCGCGCTGCTGGCACAGTGCTGGTCAGAGAGGAGGCAGGAGGTGGATTTAATTGATCCCAGCACACGCTGGTTCCAGAGGATTGTTAGTAGCTTTGGTGTGTGTGTGGCACGACACATCTGGTGTCTTATCCCTTGCTGGCCATGGAATGATGAAGAAGTTATTCTGTGTCAGGCTGCTTTCTCCTGTACTCTTTTATGTGGGCTTACATCCTGCACCAAGGGAGAAGAGGGCTGCAGCATGGGGGCTGGAATTTGGATCCTAAACTTGAGTATGTGTTTCTCTGGAAAGTAGGTTGCAGTTGCAATTTATACAAAATTGTTCTTTTCAAAAAGAAATGATGGAACTGGTTTGGACGAATTACAGAGTCGTTCAAATATCTTTGGTGTGATACCGTGACTTGAAATCCCATGTACTCCATTTGTTATCAGCTGGGGAGGTAGAAGGGGAAGGAGGCAGAAAATATCAAAAGGAGCAGAAATTAGGTAGGAAGGCACTGAAAAAGGAGTGAAGCAAAACAGGAGAAGGGGAGAGATCTGTGTGAGGAGCAACCAAGATGGTAAATGCAGCTGTCCTCAGATAACATTCATTGTGAATGGGAAGGCGTACACCTACATTCCCAAAATGAGGTAGGAAGTAGTCTGTGAGCTATTGGTGGTTTGTTACGTTTATTAGGTGCTTGCTGAATTAAGTTATCCTGTTGGATGTCACCGCACAAAGGATTGTAGTAAGAGATGTAATTTGCTTGTAAACATGTAAGGCACGATTGCAGTGCTAGCGTGTAGAAAAGGCGTGCTGGAAGAGAGAAACTTCTTCTGTCACCAGGCAAGAGTTGCTTTGCAGACCATTCACTTAGGGATGGTCACTGCTCCTGAGATCTGTCTGCATTTTGTAAGGTAAATGCTTTCTTGTGAGTGAACTTCCCTGAGTGGCGTAATAGTAGCGACTGAACAGAGAGAAATGTTCCATGTCGAGGTAAATCCACACTGCTGTAATACTCTGCGGATGTAATTAGCCCAGCAGTCACTCCCACAGAGCTGAGAAACGCTGCTTTTCCCAAAGGTGTGCCATTCCTTGGTAATGCCCTCTTCAGAAGGCATGGTCTCTCTTTCCAGTGTCACTCCGCACGAGCCGTGGGTCAGCAGGGCGCAGCTCAGGCTTCCCGCGCGGGTAAACTGCTGGCGCTCGGGATGTGCCGGGCCGGGCTGAGCAGGGGCGCGCGAGAGCGCGGTGCCTCGGTGGATGGTCTTGTCACCCAGATAAAAGCAGCTCAGGCTCGGTGTGCGCCGAACCTTCCCCGTGTTGTTTCCTTGAATCCGGCGCGGTTTCCAGACGAGTTACCTGCAGTTCTCTCCCAGCAGACGCGGCTCGCCCCAGCCCCCGTGCCCGGGGGGGAGCAGCGGTGGCTCCTGTGGAGGGACCCCCCGGGCCGGGCCGGGCCTCGCCCCTCGCTTGGGCGTGCGGGGACACCCGGGACGGCCTCGGGCAGGGGGGCCCCGCTCTGGCCTCTCCTGCTCCCCCGAGATGTTGTTGTCTCTCAGCAAAATCGTTCGCAGCAACTCGCTGCCGGAGGAAGCCAGAGGGGCGACAACCTTCCTCTCCCATTTCCTTCGTTCTAGCGATTTAGGAACGCCTAACTGAATTCAAAGCAGGCATGCCAGCTGCCCGCAGACGAAAACGTGGTCCCAGGACTCTTCCTCCTCTCTAGTCCCTATACAATTAAAAAACCCAACCAAACAACAGAAAACCCACCAAAAATAAACAACACAGCACTGAATAACCTTCTGTAACTAGACTGGATTTAATCAAGCTATATTTATTAAGAAGATCTTTGCAACCAAATGAGCTGACTATCAGTAGGAAGAAACTTAGTTTATTATCTGATTTTTAAAAGCTTGAGTAATTTTAGCCATTGACTTTATTGTCAGCCAAAAGAACTATTTCAATTATTATCTCTAATAACTTCGGAGGACATCTTTAAAGTTCTTTTCCACGAATCCTACTTCAAATGCTACCGCAGAGATGAAAGGAACAAGCTTAACCCAATGAATAACTGATAAACCAGAAATATCACTGCCCTGCCTCGAAACATCACAGATCAGGGCTCGTCCCTTGAATATAATCACAGTGTATGCTATCTCTGGCCTTTATTGGAAGCAAAGCTCTTTTATGATATTCTGTCATTTATGACAGTTTCTCCAGAGACTTCATTAGGATGAACATTAATGTGGCTGAATCTAGGGAACTGCTTTTCCTGACATAATGCCAACATATATTACAATACTGTGCCAGTGCAGTGGGGGAGCTTTATGGTTGTTTAATGCATGTGCATGTGTTGCAAATTGCATCACTTTTTAACTCTCTCTGTAAAGCAGTATCTTTTTTTCTAAATTGCCACCACTATAAATATATGTAATGGGGTGCCTGAACAGCTGTTTTGTTCAGCAGTTATCTATGATGATTATGTATTCATAGGTTAGAGTTTCCAGCACTGGAGAGCTGCAATTAATCTATACTGTGCTTCAAACCATCAGAGTGAGCACTTGGGTTTTCCCCCTACTTTATTGGTATTTCTTAGAGTTCCTTGTACGTAAACATCTGTACTAGGAATCGAGGCAAAGGAAAGAAGCAATGGCAAAGAAATAACTGGTGGCTTCCCCTTTCTTCCATCTGTTTCCACACAGCTGTGCTACGCAGGATGAGCTGACTTTGAGGCCAAAGTCAGGTCACTTGTTTCAAGAATAGTCATGGTAGAGCAGGCAAGGCCGGTAGGATTGGTCACTACGGGTTAGCCGCTTCCGTGCAGCGTAGAGCATGTGTGTGTGTGTTTTTAAAAGAAAAACAAACAAACAAACAAAAAAAAAACCAAAAAACCTGACACAACAAAAAACCACCCTAAAAACCAACCCCTGACCTGTTGCTGTCAAAGGGTTTCATAAATCTTGTTATGAAATGAAAGTTAGTTGAATTCCCTTGCTGGTGATTTTCTTTCTGTCTTTATTTAATAAAAAAAATAAAATAAAAAAAAAAAAGGCAAAAAAGCCCTGCACCCAAGGGATTTTGCTCTGTTGGCTTTGGCGACTCACTGGTGCTTTACAGTGGTAGGAGCGCGATCGGGCTGAGGCTTATCACCTATTCCTTGCACGCTTCGTTCAGATGGAGAACACTGAAGCTGTAAACTACCGCGGGCTTTCTCCCATTGCCTTATTCTAATCTCCTTTCTGGGTCAATTCCCAGGTAAGAGAGCCGTGCCATTACATTTTTAATTGTTTTCAGCTCAGTCTTCTGAATCGCCGGCGAGGGGCTGGCAGAGCCGACAGGACACGCTGTAATGCATCGTGTACAAGCATCTTATCTGGTCGGCGCTGCCGTGGGTACCGTGCTTAGGAGACTTCCACGACTCTGGGCATTTATCTTAGTCAGCCGTAACGAACCGCGTCTGCCAGGCGCGGGGAGGGCGGGCGGCTGAACTGGATCCAGCTCAGCTCCGTCTGTGCCGGCGGCCGCCCGCCCCGTGGGCTGGGGTGCAGGGGACCCTGGGGGCTGAGTCGGGAGCCCTGGCTGACACGCAGGAGCCTGACTTTGGGAAGGGACCTTCAGGGCTGGCAAGGGAGTTGCCGGGTTCCGTGTGAGACGGGCTTGGAGCCCCAGGAAAGTCCATTCAAGATTTACCACATTCGGATCAAAAAAAGCAGGGTGTTATGAACCGCTGATGGCTGCTGAGAAACTGGAGCCCTAATACCTGTGTGGCGGGAGGAGATGGAGCACAGCAAGTCACGTAGGGCTGCCCATGAAATGGGATTGGAATGTGGAACTGGGAGAGAAAAACTAAGAATCCTGCTGCGAGGTGTGAACCTGGGGCACTAGGATCACCCCTGGCCGAGATCCCGGGGAACACGCAGCCTGAAACAACAGTGCCTGCTTTGAAGGGAGGCAGAGCAGCTGAAACTGGAAGGTGAATAGATGGGAAGTGAAAATCGGGGAGACTTGGCTTTTCTGCCTGTGCTGGGCAGAGCTGGGAGAGGAGACGCGCTTCCCTGCTCCTTGGGGAGGTCTGCGTATTCCCACCTACCCCAGGTCTGGGAATTTTTTTTTTTTTTTTAAAACGCTGTAGGCATCAAAAACCACCCAGGCAGCGGCCTGACATTTTGTTGCCTGCTAACATCTCGAGAGACCCTCTGGGCCCTGCCGGCAGCTCCTTGCTCTCGGGAGGGCGTGCGAGAAAGCCCCCGCGCCCGGCGGCACCGCGGCTGCCAGCGCTGGCACGGGCAGCACCGCGGGGAGCTGTGCTGGGCTGGGGCACGGCCAGCACCATCCTGCCTGCTGGTGCTGGTGCGGGGCGAGGAAAGGAAGATAAAGCTTTGGTTTCTAACTGCCCTCTGCAGCGCTTCTGGGTCGGTCAAATAGGTTGGTTTTTTTTGCTCTTTCAAGTCTAACGATGTCAAAAAGAGGCAGCCAGGTTATGACTCTATTCTTAATAATCAGGAAGATTAGTTTAGGACTGTGGAGAGGTTTCTAAATGATTTTTAACAGCTAGTTATTTCCTTGAACAGCCTGGATTAGTATCCCATATAGCTGATGAATATGCTGGAGTGACTGGATTGATTGACAGTAATTTCAGGATGTGACTGGGAACTCAATTAACTTTTGAAAAATGTTTAAACAAACAGCTTAAACAGAGTTGGTTTTGTGGGAG